CATGACTAAACCCCCACTCCAAAAACTACTACAAGAAGCCCTCAAACCAAATCCAACAGAAGAATGAACAAGAACAGTTCAAAACAAGGAATAAAAATACAGAAGGACCATAATGGCAAATGTAGGTGCCAGTGTATCAATATTATCTCTTACTATAAATGGCGTAAACTCATCAGTAAAAAGACACAGAGTTGCAGGATGGATTAAAAAACAGAAACCATCATTCTGCTGTCTGCAGGAAACACATCTAACTACAAAAGATAAAAACAGACTGAAATAAAAGGATGGAAAACAATCCTACAAGCAAACGGGCCAAAAAAGAAGGCAAGAACTGCTATACTTATATCAGATCAAATAGACTTCAAACTAAAAAAGGTTGAAAGAGATACAGAAGGCCACTACATTATGATTAAGGGGACAATACAAGAAGAAATAACAATCATCAACATATATGTACCATATATGAAGAAGCACCAAAATATATCAGGAAACTACTGTCATCCATGAAAATGTTTATCAGAGAGAATACATACATAGTAAGAGACTTCAAGATGCCACTCTCAACAATGGACAGATCAACAAGACAAAAAATAAGTAAAGACACTAGAACTCTGAACACGGACCTGGACAACATGGGTCTAGTGGACATCTATATTTACTGCACCCCAGAAAATCTGAGTACATGTTTTTCTCAAATCCACATGGATCATTCTCTAGGAGTGACCACATACTGGGTCACAAGATAAACATCAATAGATACACTAAGATTGAAATCATACCAACTATTTTCTCCAACCATGAAGGAATCAAACTGGAAATAAACCATATGAAGAAGACAAGAAACCCACCTACCATGTGCAGATTAAAACCCACACTACTGGAAGACCATTGGATCAATGAGGAGATCAAAGAAGAAATTAGAAAATACTTGGAGAAGAATGACAATGATGGCACAAGTCTCCAAAATGTGTGGGACACATTAAAAGCAGTTAGAAGAGGAAAATATATAGCAATACAAGCTCATATAAAGAAACAAGAAATAGCTCAAAGAAACAACCTAATGTCCCACCTTAAAGAAATGGAAAAGGAACAAAATAACCCAAAAGCCAGCAGAAGACAAGAAAAAGTAAAAGTCAAATCAGAAATAAATGAAATGGAAGT